ACTGAATTTCAGATTTGATGCAAGAAAAATTTAGCTCTGATAACTATAATATTTTTTTTCTGTAAAAGACACAAAGCAGAAAATTTATTAAACTCTTCTAGAATTTATATAAACATGAGAAAATTGAGATTGAAGACAAGAGCAAAATTGGTCAAGATTAAGATATAATATATGGAAATAAAATAATATATTTGTATATTGGAAAATTATCTTGAGATGGTGCGAATATTTTTCTTAATATGTCATTTAAACTAAATTGCATAACATGACGTTAACAATAATTTCGATCACGATCTATTTATAACTTTGATTCATTTCTTTTAATCGAAGACCGTGATGCTTCGATTATCGCTTAGAATCCCATCACGCACATCAGAGGACGGGGGAAACCTCGTTTAATCGTCTCGCACCCTGCATAGCGACGATGAACGGTGAGCAGAAGGCAAAAAGATGGCCGGTCGCGGCTCGGTTATATGTAAGGGCCGCGCGCCGCGGTCTGTAATTATCGCCACTGGCCGTGGGAATTGAATTACGAGATAAATTCATGACGTGCCGCAACGATGGCTGTTCCGACAAAAGACACGAAACCGCCCAACAATCATCTTAAGCAGATTCAATCGAGACTATCTCGATCGAGTCTAACGTGATTCACGATAATTTTCATATTTCTTTATCACAGATAATATTGTAAAATACTCCAATTTATTTCTATCTCTTCCTTTTTTCTCGCAAATTTTAGTGCAGATGAGAGAAGGTAGGGAGAAATAGAGAGAGCTGTCAGAATGTTATTTAACTTATAATTTCATATTATTAAAAATAAATTACTTGTGATCTCTCATAATAATTTAGATAATTACACAAATTTGTATAATTAAATATGTATATTAAACATTTAAAAAATTGTTCTCGAAATACAAAAAAAAAAATACAAAATTTAGACCTCTATATTGCTCCAAATTTTCATAGAAGAACTTGACAGGATACGTCATCCAGAGACTCCGAGAGTTGCGTCCGAAAGCGCCTCATGATTCATAACAATCCAATAACGCACAATATTAGGCTGCCATAAAATCCGGATAAAATGCCACGGTTGCCTCGTCGTGTAACATATGTATACATCATCCACGCGTTCCCGCGTGGCTCGGGATCCATGAATAGGAAAAAAAGGAACAAATCCCTACTTCGGACGATCTTCTACCCCACGAGGTATTATTTTCGTGACTTCGTCTGCCTCGTCCCTCTGTCTCCCTCGCCCTTCTCCACCAGGGTTCCAGTCCAGCCCGCCCAGAGAAGATGATTCATTCACCCGGCCGACGAAGAAGACGACGCGCGCGCGCGCGCAGGCAGGTTCGAGGACCTCGAAGAAGCAGGTTCGAGAGGGACGACGGCGACTCGACTCGCTAATCCGTGAACAATGAAGGATTCGGATGGCTTCAATCGTTCGTCTCGAGTACCCATTCCTTTTCACGTTCGATCGCTCGCCGAGGGGTTAGAGGTGCCACAACGATCCGCAACAGCTGATAAACTCACCCGTTTCGTTTCAACGCTATTCGCGAATCCTTGACGCGATCCTTATTCCATGATCCTTCGACAGGATCGCCTCGCTTCTCATTTTGGCGATCTGCGCGAGTGATACCATACGGGAGATCACGAATGTACAAGTTGATATTGGTATAGCTTTTTCAATGTAGATATTGTTAAAATGTCATGTCATATTTCGAAAAGAATTTAAAAAATGTTTAGCTATATTGTAAATATAATTATTTAAATTGTGTAAAAGATGTTTAATTTTCATAGCAATTTATTCTCTCTCTTTCTCTATTCATTTCTTCATTGCAAAATATATGAAATAATGAAAATACATATTATTCTTTGACAATTTACTGAGAGTATTAATTAATAAATTTTGTGTGACGCTGATAATATTGTAACTCTTCTTTTTGTATTCAATTTTCAAAAATTATTTCATATTGTGTTAAAAAGATATTTAATTAACGATATCACTTCTTTATTTTTATATGCAACATTTATGTATGTAAAATGCAATTTCAAGATTTAAGAGCACTATTATTCCTGCAACGATGTCATTCCTCTTCTTCTTCCATTATATTGAAGAAGAGTGAGTCGAGAGGATTCCACGTGTGGATTACAGTGGCGATAGCTCCTTTCGGAATGTTTGCCGATCATTTGTAGCCGTCTGCTAATTATTGCGCAACGCGGTCTCGGCCTCCTCGCTATATACATCGCGATAGAATGTGATAAGTTGTCCATCAAGCGGTCCCTTTTAGGCAGCAACAAATTAATTCATTTCACCGACCGCGTGGGACCGATCTTGGCACCCACTCATGCTAATTAGTAGCACAAACAAAAGTTAAACACGAGACGAATTTAAGACGGCACCGATCAACGCATGGAAATTTTTTTCTTGGAAAACTTTTTTGGAAAAAGTCACATTCTTTCTATAAAAAAGATTGAACTAGTAACTGCTAATTTTATACAATAATTTTTTTACAACGGCAGAATAAATAACAGTCAAGTAATGTTACTAAATTTTCGAATCTCTTCAAAATTATTTTAATAAAATTACTATTTTTTTTTCAAGAAAAATGATTAAAGTGCTTGCTACGAATTAATGCAATATTAAAATTAAATTGTCACAATTTTAGCAAATGTTGAAGAGATTACCGTTTTTCTTTTTTTTCGACCTAGGTGGTCGTAATTCGCAACATGGGAAAGCAATAACAAGATAATAACAATAATATTGATGTATCATATCGATTTAACGCTGATTCGCGAGATTAAAGAAACAATCACGAGCAATGCTGGACGCGACCGTAAAATTAATAAACGCAATGAACGTTAACGAGGATCATAAATATGTTCTCCCTCGTATTGCTTATTCGCCGATTAGCATAATCATTCGATATCCAAACGGGTCGTAATTTAAAAATGTCGCAATAAATTGCAGATATTTAATATTTTTTCTTTATGAAAAGCGCAAAGAGAAATTCTCAAGATTATAATTCGAAAAAAATATCTCAGGAGGAGATAGATTTTATTTTCTAATGTTTTAAAAGAAGTATCGTGTATTATACTTGTTCTCATTTAAAATAGCTCGTAATTATATGACTCCCTTTATATGATATATCGTAATTAATTTTATTGTTACGTGTTACAAAGTTGTAAAACCGATTACAAGATAATAAAATAAAAAAATCAATTTTATTACGTTCAACATTAACATTTTCAATTTTCTCACTGATCATGTGCCTCTCTAGTTAATTAAAGTTACTGATAACATACTATCGTCAACATTGAACTACGTATTTAATAACACGGTTTATCGTGACGGCACGATATTAATTCTCTCGTAGCAAATGCTTATACACGATATAATTATACACTCGCGATATAAAAATTATAATTACGAGGCCATCGTCAATGATCATCGAAAAAAAATTCATCATCGTTTCCGTTACGCCAGAAGTAAGTTTATTTTCTTAAGAGACGAGAAAATTTTTATTGCGCGCGTAGTATTAATTTGTTCAATTGAGTCTCTTAATTACGAATCGTTAAAGAGGAGAATCAACTTTTGTGAAACGACACACCCACAACGACGCGATCGTACGCGGAAGATATCCTGCGAGGATTAGGTTCGCAATCAGAGTCCAATTAAGGGCCACAAGGAGGTTGCGGTCCTCCTAATTACATACAGAGATTTCGCCTATCCTAACGTGTTCATTATTACGATACGATGCCGGTTTTACGAGCGTATTAACGTATCAATTATGCTCAGGATTCCCTCTATCATATTGCATGAGAGGGTCAATTAGCAAATTGCACGTACGCGCTCATGGAACAATCGACGTTTAGTTAATAATTTGGATAAATATATGCAAATGCATTTTATTAATTTTTGTATACTATATTATATTATAATTTTGTCACAAAAATATAAAAAATTGCGAAATTCTAGCAAATATTATTTTTCCTTAATTAAATGGGATTTTTTAACAAAAAATATTATTTATATATCGACAAGTTTTTATTTTAATTTCGTGCAATATTCGCGGATGTCTGGCTTAAAAAAATAACGTATAAATTTTCAGAATCGATGATTATTTATTTCGACACTTCTTTAGAAATATTTCTACGAGAGAATAAAATACTCTCTCAAAATCTTTCGCCCACCCTTGTCCGTCGACACTTTCACACATTCTGCAGGATTCATTTCGCGGTACTCTCGAGCTACGCCCTCATTATTGAATGACGATCCTTAAAAAAGGGCCGCCATGCTCGTTAAAACGTTTTTCTCTATACCACCGTTCGCAATTTGTTAAAGGACCACATGAAGCATACCTGCGAGCTGCCACGTAAATTTTCGGAAAGGGATCCTCCAAAGGGATCCAGCTTCCCTATCCACTCAGTCTTGTCTCTCTCCTATCTTTCTCTGTTTCATTTTACGCGAGTATGTCGGTTTTCTTATTCTATTCTCTCTCGTTTCTCGCATCTTTCCCTTTCTCAGTTTGTTTCGGCCTTGTCGGCATCAAACAGACATAAATTGGAACCAAAGGGCATAATGCAAGAATCGAGTTTAAACGAGAGAAAAAAGGTTTTATGATTTTTCAGGGACAAAGACATTTCAACGCGATGTAATGTAAACCCGTAGAGTTTCGAGAATAGATATAGGTATTCAAAAAAGGGAACAAAAGTGAAATGTAGACTATATTAAAATATACTAGTATAACTTTTTAAGTTTATATTATGTTAAGTCCGTCATTGCAAAAACTACATATTAATGTAATTAAAAAACTTGGTAATCGAGTATTACACCTATCAAATCTTTAATAAATAATTTGAGTAGAATTATAAATTCTACATAATATTTCGTTAAATTTCTAGTTTTGTTACCGATCGAAGTCGGAGTAACTTTACTAAACGTTGAAGTAAAATGACGATAAAGTTATCGTCAAACAATAAAATTAGAAACCAACACTTACCTGTTTCAGATCCAGGAGTATCGTGACGTATTCGTAGTGATCGCCTTTGCTTAACGTAGGGCTCTGCCACCATCTTTGAGAATTCGTATCGAGGACGTTGACGATATTGTGCCTCTTGCCAGGATCTGGACTCTTAGAATCGCATACGCCGCATCTCGTTGATTCCGAGGGCTTGCAAAAAGTCTCCGGGCCTTCCTCGCCGCATGTCGCGTTTACGGAAATGTCCGCCTTCGCGGCGACGTTGAACGTGGACGGAAAGAGACCGCCGTTTTTCGAGTTTTTGTTGAGACCTGGACGGAGACCGTACGGTCCTCTCGGAGCTAAAACAAAAAAAGGAGGAATTCTTATCAAATTGATAATAATTAAAGAAAATAAGGCGCATAATAAAATATACGAGATACATAGTTTTGTCTTAATTTTTGCATTTTCAAAAAATGTAATTATGTTATTATAAGTAATGAGATTTTTACTAGTGCTATATGTGATTTGCCAATATAAAATTGAGGCAACGTGCGTTTTTAAAAATTCTGTTACCATCGAGACTTTCGTCGAATTTCAGAAATAGAGCTGCGCGTCGTTAAAATTTTGTTCTAATTCTTTTTTTAGTGAGATTTTACTGGTGCCTTTTATTGACGAATCTGTATATATCGTATCATGACGCCAATAAATCATCGCGAGTGTCAGTCCGTTTCCTATGTTTATTCGATAAACATCTGCTGTGAGGTCGAAGGTGTATATTAGCGTCTCATAAATTCATTTGATATGGAAAATTCATGCACAGAAAAAGCTAATTTTATATTAATCTTTCGACGTTTCTCCTGACATTTTTTATTAGAAATAAATTTATAAATTCATAATTCTATTTTTTATTAGTGTAAATTAAATAATTCGTGACAAAAATAATAAGTGCAAAATTATCTTTTCTTCGACTCGCAAAATAAGAAAAAAAGAGTGTGTTAAATCTGTGTATGCTTGCTCCTTAATCAACTATTAATTTTACATATTTTATGTATGTCAAACTTCGGAACAATTGACAGTTTTACGAGAGATGTATATCGTATGTTTTGCTGCAGGTCGAGATTCCAGAGCATAAACTTCGATTGATCGGAGAATGTCAATTATAACGTGCAAACGCGCGGCGTGTAATTATTTCGACCAATCGTCAGTTATAATTACGATACATCGAAAAGTTGCGATTTTTTGCGTCAGATCGGGCGTGACATCTCTCAGTCGAGAGAACGGAGCGGAGAAAAATAAAAAAAAAAAAAAAGAGCGAGAGACTATATGTAATCGAGGCGACGCGATCCCGTCATTTTCTGCTAGGCGACGCATTCATCAACAGGTTTTGACACAGCGCGACGCGAAACCAGTCGTGCAGCGAGATGCAGCGACGAGATGCAGCCAACAGGTTCCCGTCGGCTTCTTCTCCAGAGAGACGGGTTACACAAATGCACGATATAAGAAACGTGACGAATTATCTGCGAGAGATAAAGGACACTTTGCCGCGCCGGCGATAATGAATCGATCATCAGAAATTGTAGCAGAAAGAAGTATAATTTATTATTTTTATTCATTTCTTAATCCATGCATTACGGTTTTGAATGGCTTCTAAGTTCTACAGCTGTTTTTTCCTTGTGTATAAGTATAGCAGAAAGAAGTAAACCATCGAAACTTTTCTTGATTTGTTCATGTCGGTTAATTAAAATTTCAACAAGGTATCATATTTTTCTTATTTGTTTAAATGATAAAAATATGCATATGTAAATCACATCCTTACTTTTCAACTTATTGTATCTGAAAAATATTATTGTTAATATTATAACTCCTTATGATTTCATTCATATATCATGTTTCTTTTAATTTTTAAATAAAACGCAAATATCGAGATTTGAGCCGTTTATTTTAATAGTGATGTATATATGTAAATCGATTTAAAATAAGATCGGCAAACTTATTTTTATCAGTACTATTGTATGAAAGTTTACACAGAGAAAATTTTCTCTTAGAGTTTATTCTGAAAATTATGATAGTCGTAGAACAACATGGTAATGAAAGAATTTTATAAACTTTTTAATTAATATTTATCACAATAAAAAATATATCTACCACAATAAAATATAAAATATGTTTGATTAATTTGACTAAAATATAGTAAAATTTCAATAACTTTAAAATATGTTAAAATTTATGAGTTTTGAATATTTTAAACAGATGCCAAAAATGTGATAAACATATAATTTTTTTTAAATGCTGTATATTTTTAATCTGCCTTAATCAGTCGTTATAATTTTAATATGCAGCGTGATAATTTTAAATTTATAAACCATAAATTTGATAAATATAATAAATTTTGTGAATTTATCAATATTATTCTTGAAAAAATGTTGAAACACAAACCTTATAATATCTCGAGAAACAAGAAGAGGCGGATTTAAACCATACTTTCCAAGTAAATGGCTCATTTCTCTCGTTTTATAACACCTCGATTTTGATCTCAGATTTCAGATACGCGTTACGGGATATATGCGTTCTGTCCTGCCAAAAATCGCTGCGATTAGTCAGCATTACCTGCAGGTGGACGATCTCATGATCCATCACTCCCTTGATTAATGCTCGCGCCTCGCGCGAATTATACGCCGTCATACGTGAGCGGGAAATAATGATTCTTCGGTATCATCAACTTAAATAATATTTAATAACAGTCTTGTTAACGCTCGCGTACAGGCGCTATAATATATATCGCGAAAAAAGATCGTTAACGATATATACCGAGCAGTACTCGGAACTCTCGCACTAATCAGACTAATCGCGTTGCAATATTTCATGTCGTCAACAAGCTTTCTTGCCATTTTTTCGTCTACCTTGCTTTCTTCAAGACGCGCGTCTGTCAATCTTAATAAATCTATATTAGTCGGAATTATTCTATAGCCGAATTATAATGCTAATATCTATATCTATGATATCTATATAGGAAACCTAAAGAAATGGTAACATTTATTATCACAATATTAACGATATAAAATATTTAAAAAATGAAAGAGCATGATTAAAAATATAAGAAAATATTAATAGAATAGTTCGATAATAAAAATATTGAAAAAACACGTAACATTACGTGAAATTATCTATGAGATGATCTAAAATACATGTTAAAATTAATTAACGCAATTAGCGATCTAAATTCTTTCAAAAATGAAAGAGATCATTTTTTTAGTTAGGTTCGTTAGGTCATTTAATCATAATTGTTCAATGATTTTAAATTAATTTTTTCATTTTGATTAATCAATGTTTTACTAGTACAGGGAAGATTTATTTTGTTGACCTTTTTATTTACTACTTGTCAAGTAAAAAAAATTAAAATTAAAATTAATAAATTAATATTAATAAATTAAATTAAAATTTCTATCAAGAAATATTCATTAAAATAAATGTATTAATTTAAAGCAATTTTTTATTTTAAACGTCGCGTTTCATTATTATCATCAAGATTGCATCAGTCACTCTTTCCGCGCGTAAAAAGCAACGTACGCAAATAATACGCGAAATAATGAGCATCCCACACAACTCATCCCTCTCGCGCATTAGAAAATCCTTAACAAAACAAATGTCAGTTACGTAAATGGCGAAACATCGCTTTGCTCGTTCGTTCTGGGTCCGTGATGACGAATCTGTACAAGTCCCCATGCACGCTCACGTATAGCCTCCCTATTTCAAGAACAACGTGGCAGAAATCTGCACCGGACGTGCCTGCTTGCGCCAAACTGCGTGCATTATGCTCGCGTAGAAAAAAAGCAACTGAACGCGCGAGTTCGTCGGAAAACGAGCAGACACGCATTGTACGTGTGTCGAGCACGCAATCTGCTCCAAGCCGCTCCTATTCCTCTCGCGACTAGGATATTGTTTGAATGGGTAAGCGAAAACACAATGACATCTTGTTCCGAAAGAGCGTCTAATAATATGCAAATATTTCTTCTATCACCAAAAAAGATCAATGTATTCTATGATAAAAATATTTCCAAAGATTCTTCGATGTATATTTATATTCTTTTATATTTATGTTTATTTGTATTTATATATTTACATATTTAAATAAATATACATATATTATTAATATTATAATAAATACTTGTAATAACATGAATATATATGAATATATATAATAATATAAATATGCAAAAAATAACATTATTTATATGTTATTCGAGTATATATGAAAAATAAATCGTGCGTTTTTGCGAGCGTTTGATGTGCTAATAAAAATATTATGAAAAAAATAATGTGCAAATGAAAAAAAAATTATCATTATCGGTTCTATAACCAGACAATTTTAGCGCAACTCTTGTTGTCTTCTCGAAATTACAATCCGCTGCATTCCTTATACCAAGAATAGCTTTCATCGCGGCGCATCCCACACATTTTACCTTCGCTCCTCTCATTCCCCTAGAAATTCAACGAACGATTTAAATCCTAACGATCGAGTTCGTGGTAACGCGTACGATTTTTCCTGTCTTCGAAGCAGCCGTCGATTATCGTGAATCATGACGTGAATTTCTCCCGATGCACCTTGCAACTACTGTAACGATCGCTTTGCGAATATCAAGGAGGCACGTTCAACTATAATACTGTAGTGGATGCACGACAAACATGCGAGGTGCTGAACACAGGCGTGGCTGGGTCTTCTGTTGACATGAAAGAGGAGAGACACAAGTGATCAGGAAATTGACCGAGGCTTGGTTCGAGAGAAACTTAACTATGGAGCGATTTGTTGCGTGCGCGAGCGTGATGTATTCTTCCGCTCTTGAATTGACCTGTCCAAGACGCGTCCCACGATAGGTTTGCGCAACGCCATCATGAATAAAATTATTTTTTTTTTACAAGGATTTTTTTACAAAGAATCGCAAGTGCCAAAGAAAATTGAAAAATCAAAATACGAAGCGAGAGAAGATCATAAGAATTATGTAAAAATATCCCAACAAATATATTCACATTTTATTTGCATCTTCAAATATTATTTACTTGAAAATATATGTTTTATTATTTCTTATATAAATTTTAGAGCTCATTTCGCGAGTCAATTATATTGAAAACTAATATGTTTTATTCCTTGCATATTTTTAGAACTTACTTCGAATCAATTATATAATTTGAGTAATTCTATAATTAGCTACCCATTTAAGTGTTTGCTGAGAAAACATTTTCAAATTTAAAGGAGCCCTCCTTTTACCCGCTCGACGAACAACTCTGCATTTGTATCGCTTTTCCTTCTTAGTGTCTTTCTCTCACTAGCTCTCACACATATCCTTCGACCCTCTCTCCTAAA